ACCAACGAAGCCTCTCCGATGGACCCTTGCCATCGCAGCATCACCGGCGAGAACCAGTCCGGCAAACCCGTCCTCCATTGCTGTGAACCCTTCTCTGTTCGCAAACAGCAAGCCGCCCCGCAAAGTTCATCGGCGAGTTCTGACCTCCATCGCTGCAAGCTGTCGACCATTCCCTCCGGCGAGTTCGGCGGCCATCTCTGGTGAACTGGGAGCATGCAGCAGCCACCCCCTTTGGTCGAGCCGCTGTCCTCTCGTGAGACGTGTTGCGTGTTCGAGCCCGTCAACCTTTCGTTCCGTTTTCGTTCGATTCCTGAGAACGGTACAAGGCTTGACCCGACTCGTGTATTTTTGCGTGATATTATGTGCTCGATTATGTGAATGTGTTCGTTTGACGTGATATCTCGAATCATATGTGCTAGTATATGATGATGTGTTGCTATTGAATGAGAATTGTGAAAATTGTGTTATATATTTGCGAATTGGACATCAAAGTGATTGCCGTCACTTTGAAAAATTCTCAAACTGAATGTACGTGGTTCTTTTCGTGGAAATCCTGGAGTTATAGGTACTTGAAGTTGTCCTTGATCTGTTAGTTTTGGTTTGAAGTCGTTTCGAGTTGTATTTTGGGAGTTATGATTTTTCTAAACCGAGCATGCTGCTTAACCGTAATAAATTCACCATAAATCGAGTTGTTATCCGTTTGAGCTGAATTTTTGATATGTTGTGCCTCTGAGTATGTGGAATATGTGTGCCAAGACCCGGATTTTATTTCTAAGGTTTTGGAGTTCGAATGCTTAAAACGGTTTCTGTGCCGAAACTTGTAAAATTCATTAAAAATTGTACACTTGGAGTTTTGAGCTGAAACTTTCAGGAACCTGTTATTTTACGATGTTTTAGGTTGTGTAAAAATTCCAGACTGAAACTCGAAGTGTAGCTATATGAACTATTAAACGCTGATTTTAGTGCTGTTTTTTCTTAAATCATTTAAAAATGTTCCCGGATGAATTTAGGGCTGAAACTTGGTGAGTTTATGTGTTTTTATATGCCTTATAATGTGGTAAAGTTTCAGGTTGAATGGTTGAGCCTAACTCCTGATTCTGAGTTTTGTTTATTTTGGAGTCTTAATGTTCGGTTATCGGTTGGTTAGGTTCGGATAGGATTTATTTAATGTTGGCATGTTTTATGTGAAATATTTAAAGTATATGAGTTGTGTCCAGGTCTAGTAGTCACTCCAAAGTACTTAACTAGGTCAAGGAATCCACGAGTCGCTTAGTCGATATGATTTCGACTAAGTATATGTGCCTTGTGTGGTATTGTATATTGGATAGTCAGTGATAGGCTATTATAATTGATGTAGGTTCGTCGAGCCGAACTTGTGCCATAATTCCTTCAACTCTGTGTTTGGCTATACCTCTTGCTATATCCAGGTGGATTGTTATTCTAAAATCGTCTAGGCTGTAAATGTTATTACGGTTTTAATTTTTGGTATGATCAAGTATGCATATGGAACATGTAGCCTTCGATGTGAGCTGTACCGTCCGTCGAACGGTTGTCCCGTATTTATGAAATGAAAACCCGAGGTGTTACTCCTACTGACTGGGCATCGATAGAAGCCCATGGGGCATTCGATGTGTAAGACCGGAGGGCAGAGACGTAAAGCCCATGAGGCGTTCGATAGAAGCCCGTGGGGAATTCGATGCGTCTACCGGCAGTAGTCAATTGATATAGATGTGCACATGAGTATGAACACTGTGAATTTATGATGAAAGTTTTGGGGGTACTTGATTGATTCTTATACATGCTGTGGCCATAATTTCTGTTATGTTATGAAAATGTTTATTGCATAGTGGTGAGCACTACTTTTTCCAACTGTGCTCATCCCCACCTGAAATTCACGTTTCAGGTTAAGCGAGGCAGGCACGATGGCGGAGCAGAGCGAGTGGTGGTCGGTCTATAAGACTGGTCCTATTATTGTTTATGCTTCCGCATTTATGAATTTGGAATAATATTGCTTTTATGAATTCTGGATTTTATGATTGAATAATGATAAGGAGATGCTCCTTAGAACTTATGAATATTATTGAAACCCGGTTTGGGTAATGACTTATGCTTTTGGAAAAACCCGTTTGGGAGTTAGTAATTATTGATGATTGATAGTGATGATTGATTAAGTATTGAAAAATTGGATAAGTATTGGAGTTTGTTTTGAAAGAAAAAAAAAAGAGTAGCGCCTCAAGTATTTGAAATAAATTTGAAAAATTTATACTGATTTTCGGCAATAAAAAGTGGGGCGTTACAGGTGACGATCTCTGTGACGATAAAATTTCGTCATCAATTCACTTTTGTGACAAAAAATAAGGTTTACATGACGAATTTTATCGTCATGTTTTCTGCAATTTCTTCTAGTACCCTCACGTATGATCCCTGCTCATTGTTCGATCCATTCCCTCACGACCAGCAGGCTCGATTTGCTGCCCCTGTTTGCCGTCCTTTGTCGTGCCAGCACCGCGAGACGAGCACCCGCACGCTAGTCGAGCGTAGCCATCGAGCCCTGCGCATGCGACAACCACGGTTCGGCCTCCCTTCGTGAACTTTGTGTGAATTTTCCTTGGTGAACGCTAGTACGGCTGAAACTCCTCTATTTTTATGGGTTCTTATTGGATATGAATAGATCCTTTAAGAATTGATTAGATTTAACTGAATTCTTATGATTAAGTTTAGATCCCTTTTAATTTATGAAGAAATCAATGGACATTGTTATATTTCATAAAATTCCTGTGGATATTGGGACCTTGGTATGTCTTAGGGCTGTTCTTGAAGCCCTAAGTAGATTGGAATGAGTTATATTGCCTTTTGGAATTTTTGAAAGTCATTATTGCCTCTGAAATTGGAAAAATTATTAAATATCGTAACACTCGGCCATTTTGCTTGGAATTTCGAGGGTTGTTTTCTGTTGATATAAGGTTCCTTGTGTTAAAGTTTCAGATGAAAATTCAATCTATAGGTGCCTAAATTGGGGGATGTTGTTTTTGCCCTAATTTTTTAAAAATCATGTTAAATAATCGGCTTGACCATTTGGTTTGATTTTCTGGAATTTAAAACCTAATATGGTGTATATCCTGCTGTTAAAATTTCAAATCAAAACTCGTTTTATAGGCCTATGAACCAGAACCATTCATTTTGTCCAATTTTTTGCGAAAATTCTTTCTCTGGGTTAGGGTGGTTTTTCAGAGTCCATCTCTGGTGTGCAAGTGCCTTTTTGAGTCTATTTTATTTTGTATAAATTTCATTTTAAACGCCCAAGCCAATCTCCCAAAGGTTTGGTTGAGATGTTGAACTTGTCTGTTTCCCCGGGCCTCTGCCTGCTCCTGTGTACCGTCCCGTGTCCCCTGCGCGGACCCGAGACGCCCGCATACACTTTCCATGCCTGCGCATATCTCTCCGCGTCCAGTGGACATGCCCCGCACCGCGTGCGTGCCCAGACGCATCATGTTGAGTCGTTTCGAACCGTTTTTCATTTTTCCCAAGCTAGTTGACTTTATTTTGACCCGTTAACCTCGTTTCCCGTGCGGAGTCTATTTTTAATGTCTTTAAATGATTTTTCTGAGTCTAGCCTTCAAATCCAAGTGTTCCAACTTCCACAAAAATTTCACGAACTACTTAGTCGATAATGTTCGACTAAGTATTGATTCTTGTTATAAATTTTAAGAGTTAAGATAATATGTTGATGAAATTATCTTCATTAAATGTAGGTATCTGACGAGCCGAGCTCTCAACCTACTCCGCTGATAGAGCATTTTCGTGTTTTAATTGTCCAGGTGGGTTTTATTTAAATATCTATGCCATAAATTGTTTATATTTGTTGGACGGTATGATCAGTGTATGCGTGTGAACCATGTAACCTTCGATGTGTGCTGTTTAGACCTTCGAGACGGTTATCCCTGTCATCGTGTGCTGTTTAGACCTTCGATGGTGCCTAATGATAGGCAGTCTCCCTTGACAGGCAATGCCGTTGAGTGCTGTTTAGACCTTCGGCATGTGCTCCCATTGTTGAGTGCTGTTTAGACCTTCAGTTGCTAATCATTAGGTGTGCACATGAGTATTATATGATTAGGAGATGTGATATTATGATTGATTCACGTTCATGCTGCAATGATACCTATCTATCACTATAACTGATTTANATTATTGCTTCTGTTTTTCATGATTGAACTTATTAGAATTTTCAAACAATGATGTTTAGGAAATTATTGATAAACATAATGTTATGTTTGGTACTTGCTAAATTGCGTTGATAATGAATTGGTTTATTATGATATGGAACCTGATGATTGGTTTGAACCTTATGATATTATGATGTTGGATAATGATATCCTTTGTGTAAATTTGGGAATGAATTCCCGTTAGTTCAGATACGACTTAAACTGTTATATGAAAAGAATGAGTAATGCCGTTAAATGTTTTAAAATCGAAAAATGAATTTCGAAAATTTAACTGTGATTTTTGGATAAGACATGGGTTTAAAAATCAACACAGCATTACACCTAGAATTCTCTTCACCACAGATCAAACTAGAAAAGGAGGAAAAAAAACATTTCGCGAAACAACGTTGGTTGTTGTCATAATTAACTAAAAGCGGACCTCAAAAGACATTTTTATATAACTAGATGAAATTTGTCACAAGGAACTGGATTTATTTCTCTCCATTAGAAAGAGGACTAAAATTGTGTTGATGTTGGGCAGGCAGTACTAGAGAGCTATTCATGAGAATTGGAAGGTTTGACATTCAACATTGTTGCTTGGATTGAAGATGTACTATTTGTAGATAAAACCAACAAAAAAAAAAAATAAGAATAGAGGTGTTACATTATGAATTTGAAATTTATTCATGTTTTGACACTAAGAACAGTGTCCCTCCACTGTTCTTTTATTCAAATGGTAACATACATAAAACAACAATGTTCTTGCTTATCGAACAGAGCTAATTGCAGGTAAAATTACTAAAATTGTCCAGTGAAGGTGACTGCTATAACACTCCTAACAATGTGCTTTCCTGAATCCCAGAGCAAGAAGCCTTTCGCAACAGATGCATTATTCCCCCAACTGGTCATGTTGTTGTTGCGGTGAAAGGTCACGTAGTACGTCGCTTTCTGCTTCAAGCTCGTGAAACAAATCTTCGATGGCCTCACATTAACATTCACACCCTGGGGCTCGACTATGCTCACGGAGTAACAAGAGACGGGATCGCCCACGTTGGTGAGGGTTCGGGAGAAATTCTTGGGCGAGTCGAGCAAAACCGAGAATGTGGGGTAGTTCAGTTGCCCCTGAGGGATTCTCAACGAGCAATTGACCGGCTCCTGCGTGATCATCTTGACCTGGTCCTCTGTGTATCCCAAGCCACACAAAAAAGGGACGTATTCCTCAATTTCAATGTCGTATACCAGACCGGGATCCATTGCTCTATTCGGGTTGACGTGGCCGGCCCCCACAGCGTAGATATCGGCTGGAGTAAGTTTCTCGTCGAGAATCGGTATGTCGTGCGCATTGACGAGGTCTGCGGTGGTCATGATAGCAGATTTCACGGCTGCTGCCGACCATTTGGGGTGTGCGCTCTTGATCAGAGCTGCAACCCCACTAAGGTGAGAACACGACATCGATGTGCCTGACACGATTGTGAATGTCATCCCCAAACTATACGAGCTCGAAGGGTTCGACCCGGCCAGAATGTTTTCGCCCGGCGCAATGATGTCCGGTTTCAAAACCTCAGGAGCTTGCCTGCTGGGCCCCCTGGATGAGAAATAAGAGACGGTGGGAGAAATTAGGTCACCAAGCTCCGTACCCTCGAACGAGATTGTTGCCATTGGGGAGGACGTAGACTTTATGTAGGCCTTGATTTCAAGGCCCGCCCTAAAGGATACCGTCGTGGATGGGAAGTTGATGAGATAAGAATTGTGGCTAAACCCGGCAGTTTCGTCATTGGCCAGTATCATGGCGGCACCACCAGCATCCTTAACTTCCTTGGCTTGATCCTTCGGGCTGATGTGTCTACCTCCGTCGCACAACACAATCTTATTTGTGACATTGAACCGCGCCAGTGACCCCTTGTAGCACTCTTGTTTCCCGGAGCTGTTGTGGTAGACGAGCGGCCATAAGTTTTCAGAAGAGAAGTTTCTGGGCTGCAACACAGACTCCCCATCGAATGCCAATCCATTTCCCAGCTTTGCCGTGGCCCGAATTCTTCGGTCAATGGTGCTTAGCCCGACGGTGAGAAGCCAGGGTGCGTCGTTGATCACTGTCGAGGCGGAAGGACCGTCGTTCCCCCCCGCCACGCTTACGAGGATTCCCTTCTTGGCCGCTGCAAAACCGCCTATCGCTATAACATTTTCGTAAAATGGGTTAGACACATCGCCCAAGGATATGGACAACACGTCTACCCCATCCTCGATGGCGGCATCAATACCGGCTAGAGTGTCGCTTTTTTGGCAGTACCCAGCAAAGCAGACTTTGTATGCCGCGAGGTGAGCGCGTGGGGCTACCCCAGACGCAGTCCCGGCGGCATTTCCTTGGATGCTGACGCCGGGAACGAACGTTCCGACGGCTACACTGGCTGTGTGGGTCCCGTGCCCGTACCCGTCAACCGGTAAGGGGGAGGCGTTGCCCTCTTGGAATGCCCGTGCGCCTATGACTTTGTTGTTGCACCCCAACTTGTCAGCCAGGTCGCACTGCCCCTTCCAACTGGCAGGCGGAGGCGGAATGCCGGAGTCGTTGAACGAAGGGTGGCCCGGGGTTATCCCACCGTCGATAAACCCAACGATGACTCCCTTGCCAAGCTCCGTCCGCGGCCAGGCTCCACTCCACTGGTTTAGCCCGAGGAATCCTGGGGAACGGGTCGTCAGCGGCTGGGATGTACTGTCTGGGAGGATCGAAATAAAGCCTTCTTTGTCTTTTATGAGTTCGGCTTGTTCGGGTGTTAGTCTTGCCGAGAAGCCACTGATTACATGCTTGTATGAGTGGACCAGTGCGTCTTTGGCTCCCAGGGGAAGAAATGCCCTATGGTAACTCCTGATCATGTCCTCAGTTTCGGCAATGCCGGCCGAGCTAGGATTCATCTTCTTCACGTGGACAATGTAAGTTTTGTCGAGGGCTGATGCGGATGGGAGGAAGACGAGGAGGAGAGAGAAGAGAGTTATGGGTATGAGTATACTGTGGAAGAAATTAAGGAGAGGAGCCATGATACTGGATTTTGACTAAAATTAAATTAGCTGTTGTGCTTTA